CATTTTAATACATACAGTTCAAATAGAAAAAACTAAAGGTGAAATGAAACTTCCTTGTCTAAAACCACTGCAAAGCAGTCATAGGTGTGGCACTATGTGTACTTTTTGTTAGAAAGCTGATAAACCAGTTCATCAAGTGCAGAGGCGCATTTAGTACATGGGCAAAGACAGACAATATTCATTATGTTTATTTGTTTAAAATAGAGAAACCAAAGAAAGACTGAGAACTAAAAAACAGAACATTGGGAGTGAGAAAAAAGGACAGAAAGAAGATACTGAAGCAAACTTCAAGAACTACAAACTGACAGTCTGTGACGCATGATGGAGGCAGGAGAGGACTCCGATCGTCACTACAGTGAGTTTTCACCATGTTGTAGATACATTTTTAAAAGTTTGACAAAACCTATTTGATGATCTAACACAAAAGTCTTCAAAATAACTTATCTTGCAAGATACATTATCTTGTATCTCTTACATACTATGTATACATTGTTGTTCATATGATGAAAGATATTATATAAACATAGGACTGTACATAGAATTATTCCCAAGAAGTACAAATCAATATAGTGAGGCCAAAACTTTTTACCGTACTTCATACAAATGTGAGAGATCTTATTGTGGTTACAGTGAAAGTAAAACCTAGAAGTTTCAAAGCAACAACTTTACAGTGTCCTGAGATAATGGATGTTAAGATAAATGTACAAAAGCTAATGATACAAAGCCAAGCTGGGAAACTTTGTAAAATTGGCGAAATGTAATTTGATTTGCAACCTAAAAACAAACACAACAATGCAAGGCAAACTACAAGAAATGCATTTGCTTTAATATTACAAACCACATGCATGAACCAAATGCACATGGAAAGTACACGATTTATACATTTGACTATACACCTAAAATATGATAATGCATTTGTTAAGGTTTGTAAACTACAAGTGATAATTACAGGTTTCTTAAATTTCTTTTGCAGATTGTCCAGCTCTTCCAGAGATAAAGGCCATTATAATCGGCAGTAAAGCAGAGTACAAACGCAGTGCAGCTGATACCATTTTTGGTCATATTGACTGTAAAGTGAGAAAAGAGATAGTCAAGAGTGAGATGAAACAGAGGACAGTTCAGAACAGGTCTGTTACTTTGGTAATGACACCAGGATGGTGGAGGAGCGTCACACTGGGAGAGAGTGCAAAGTATTTAAAGATGGAGATTGTGCACAGTTTAAGACTGTGTCCTTCTCCACATGCCTTTCTTCTAGTCATCAATCTACACAAACATCAATTTACAGTTATGCACCTAAAAAGTGTGGTGGAACACATGGAGATTTTTGGTGAGCAGATCTGGAACCACACCATCGTTCTGCTCATGTATGACAACACAGATCAGAGACATGCAGACAGCAAGCAGCTAATTGAGAGAGCAGGGAAAGAGCTTGATATTGTAATAAAGAAGTGTGGGAACAGAGTTCATGTCTTCAATTATACTGACAGCAAGGGGATAAATGTGGAAAAACTGTTCCGTGAGATAGAGAACTTGGTAGCTCAGCATGAAGGACAGTCCTTTAAAATTGACAGCAAACTGTTTGAAGATATGGAGGAAAAGAGACGAAATGTGAAGAAACAAGCAGAAGAGAGATCCATCCAAATAAAAACTAAGATGCAAAACTTGAAAGAACGTCTAACAGGTATGGAGCATCTTTGGTTTAAGAAAATATTCAACAACACTGTAGAATTAATAGAAATTATAGAATTGTCTTGGATGACTCCAGCTAAACTGTTCATGAACTTTCATGTTCTTTTCGGCAGAGTTTTTTCCAGAGTTAAGGATTGTCCTAATGGGTGGCAATATTGTTGGGAAGACCTCAGTGGTGAATACAATCTTAAAAATTAAACAAGAGAAGAGCGTGACAAGAAAATGTGTGATGAGTGAAGGAGAGGCTGACAAGAGAAAAGCCATTTTAATTGACACACCTGGATGGTGGCCGTACGCGTCTGTAAAGGAGACTTCAGAGTCAGTCAAGCAGGAGATCATGTCA